TGGGTGACTGACTTGATGTGGCGGATGCATGAGAGGAAGAAGCCCAAATGACTCCCAGATTTCTGGCCGGCTGCTTGTTCTGAGCCCTGCTTCCTCCCCGCCCCCCCACACCGTCTGGTCCGATAGCGCTTCCTGCCATGATCGGAACGCTCTGTTCTGTGTCGTCCAGCGTGGGAGCTACCAAACATATGCAGCTACCGACGGCTCGGGATGCGGCTGGTGTGGCCGAGGACCTGAACTTCGAATTTTATTTAATTGTATTTAATTAGTTTAAAATGAAATAGCCACACACGGCACAGCGGCCGTCGCCCTGGATGGCGCAAGCCTTGAAGCTTCTTTAGGCACTTTACCACTTTGATCCCACGTTCGCCATTCTGTCTTGAGCCGCGATTGAGTGCACGTCTGTCTCTTCACTGGACTGTAATCTTTTCAAGGTCAGGGAGGGAATTTCACATATGGTAGGATCGCTCTCTCCCGAGCTCCGACACAAGGCTGGGCACATCGTGGGCCTTCGGTGAGTCCAGGCCCATGCAAGATGTTCTGCTGAGAGGGAGGAAATGTCTTGTCTTCTAAACTTCTTATCCAGGGAGATCCTAGGCTTCTTGCCTCCAGGAAAAACTGGTCACCCGCTGAGGATTAAGGAAGAGGGAAAACCATGTTTATAAATGCTTTTGTCAGATGGCACTGGGCTGGGTGTGGCATCATGGCCAAACGCAAACATGTGGCGCCTGGGCTCTGGGAGTTTCCCGGCAGATCCCAGGCAGGGCAACACAGAGGGCGGTGGGACGGATCTTAAACAGACACCGGGAAACTGCAGTGTAGGTCTGAAGACTGTCTCTTTAAAGGATTCACCCCGCGTCCATCCCATGAGAAGGGATGAAAATTATTAATGAGGAAGTGTTCTCAGACCCCGTAAATGGCCCAGCTCCCTCTTTTGCACCCCCAGTCCTGCAAAGGAGGTTCTATCTCTTGGGGGGAGGTTAAGCTGGAGCTAGATGGGAGGGCTGAGGGCAGAGCAGCCGAGGAGCCACGGGCCTTCTGGGGCAGGGAGTAGGAGGAAAAAGGTGTTTGTGGAGTTGCCATGGGATTTGGCAAACGAATTTCTTCACAAGGTTTGAGAATGGCAAGTCAGGAACTTGAGTCACGTTGCAGTTGGCCTCAGATGCCTTGACCGCAAGGCAGCCTGGAGACTGGACCGTGTGGGCCAGATGGTGAGGGTTACACACCACTGGCCGAGAAGTCCCGGGGGCCCGGCCCTGCCTCCGCTGGGTGCAACGTGGTCTTCTGAGCGAACCTTCCTGGGGGCAAAGCTTCACCCTCTGTTGGTGACTTCATTTCACTGGAAATAGCTAAAAGTGATTTGGAGCCAAGTTTGTTTGGATGTTGGGCAATACTGTTTTTGCCCAAAAGTGACTAAAATGATCATAATGTCATGATGCTGCCTTTTCTGTGGGACTTGGTAAAATGGCTTTTCAGATATTTTTGAAGAAGGAAAGATTTCACTCAGGGTTTGCTTTGGCCCCAAAGAGGAGGTTCTTGAGGAGAACCACCAGCCTCTTCTGCCCTTCACTTTGTCAGCCTGGTGCTTCTGACTCCTTGCCGGCTCCCTCCCCACTGATATCATCACCCTGAAGGCGGCTGCATCCAGGTCCCCACTAGGAAGAGACATACCAATGTGCCAAATGGTGCTCCCCCTGGGGCTAGAGCACTGACCTTCAGCTAGGGGGAATTCTGCCTTCCCAGGGTACAGACTTCCAGCAAAGTCTGGAGACGTTTTTGGCTGTCACAACAGGGAGTGGGGGGGTATCAGTAGAATCCAGTGCATGGAGTCCAGGGATGCTGATAAATATCTTGCAGTGCACAGGACAACCTCCCACAACAAAGAGTGAGTCAGCCCCAAATGTCAATAGTGCCGAGGCTGAGAAACCCTGGGGACCAAAGAATCCGAGGTAGCTTTTTATGTGTGTTTGTTTTTATCTCCCGACTTTTCCAAGATTAATATATGTTACTTTGATTTCAGAAAAAAAAAATGTTTGAAGAAAGGAAAACCTCTTTTCCTTTCAAGTGATGCAAGCTTGGCATTTAAAGGAGGAAAAAAAAAGAGTAATTATTGAGGTGCCAAGGTAAAACAGAGGAAATACAGAAAAAGGGAAATAGACAACTTTAGAAAAGTCCATTTCACAAACATTTGTTGGGCAGCGATCAAGTTCAGGGTGCTGCAGGATGCTCGGCCGGTCCAAGATGAACAAGACCAGGAGGACAGGGTCTGCTGTGCAGAATCTTACAGGCCAAGCAAAACTCTGCAGAACGAGACAACAGGAAAAACAAAATCTGAAAAGAGGACAGAGAGGTTTTGCCAGCTGAGGGTCTGGGAAGGCCTCGGGAAGAAGAGGAGGTGCTTGAGTTGGGTCTTGAGGACCGGGCAGGGTACGGATAGGATCTGAGGGCAGCCTGTTGAGGTCAAATCCACTGCCCCCCTCCAGCCCCCACTTACAGGTTGGGTGGTCTGAGGCTAATCAACTTCTCTACATCTCTGTTTCCTCGTTTGTAAGTTTGGTAGAATAATGGATGAATATTGTCTCCTTGAAGGATTCACCGCAGACTCCTCCGAGGCCGCTGGTGGGATAAGAATTACTAATGAGGAAGTGTTCTCGGACCTAACCCTGACTTGTAAGATCAGAAGAATCAATTGAGATGATGCCTGGACACTCAGCTAGCGCCTGGGGCAGCTGTAGGTCCTATGAGGCTGGTTTTTAATAGAAGAGAGGAGGAGAATGGGAACTCCTGGCCAGGGGAGCAGGTTGTGTGCGGTTGGACAGATGCCAGGAGTTTAGGGGAGTGGCTGGAAGCTGGGATTCAAAAGCATGGTCCGAGGCCGAGGAGCACTGACAGCACCTGGGGCTTTTGGTAAATGCAGACTCTCAAGCCCTGTCCCAGACCTGCTGAATCAGAATCTGCATTTTAACCAGATTTCCCAGGTGGTATGTGTGTACATGAAAGTCTGCAAAGCAGGGAGCTTGAGCACAGGATGAGGGATGCTGTACAATGTGGCTGAAAAGTGGGGACAGACTGGGGTGTCATGCATGCTCTGCCAAGGAGAAATGATGGATGGATGGATGGACAAATGGACAAATGGATGGACGGATGGATGGGTGGATGGACAAATGGACAAATGGATGGACGGATGGATGGACAAATGGATGGATGGATGGATAGGTAGATAATTTTAATATGTATTTTATAAATTCACATAAACATGTACAGTAGAGATTCTGAGTGGGGGGCTGGTCCAAGTAGTCTCTTGACCACTGGGCAGGTCTCTGGGCCCTGACGCTTGGGAGGGATGGTTGGTTGGCAGAGAACTCAAAGGTGAGGAGGCCCCGCTGATCCACTGCAGTGGATGGGGTGGGGAGTCATGCAGGGATTGAAGACCCAGCAGAGGTGTGGGTGATAAGGGAGGAAGGGATTTCTGGGGAGGCAGCCTCCCTAGCTCAGAGGCTCATCACATCTCTGAGGATCCACCCAGAGAGCCTCTGGCTCCTGCTGTTTCTGTCCCAGGCTCTGGTTCCCAAATCTCTGTCTCCCCCATGTTCTCTTGATTTGGCATGGGGGCTTCAGCAGGGAGGGCTCCCAGGGCAGCCTCTCTTCAGCGCTGTAACGGCAAAACCACCGACATGCAGAGTAAAGAACAAAGCCCAAAAGTCAACCTACTAGCTACAAGGTCATGCCCCACCAGCTAGAAGTTCTCCGAGCAATGGGGGTGTTTGAGGGAAGCCCATGGCCTCCCCCAGCCGACAAAAGGAGCCTTCATCTGTGTAGATGATTCCTGACAAAAAAAGAACACTGTCTTGGGATTTAATTGTCCTTAAACATAAAAGAGGAGTTAAAGAAAAATCAGACATGGGACCTTTCGAGATCTGCCTCTCAGTAGCGACCTGGATCCCACTTGTAACTTGGCTTTCGAGGGGTGGGTGGTCCTTACTCCCCCAGACCTCCGTTTCTCACGGGGCAGCTGAAAGGGTTGAACTCTCTGTCCTCACTGGGCCCGTGAGGTGCTGCATTGTATGTTTTGGTGAGAACCAAGATGGGTTTGGATCGCCCAGTTACGCACTCCTGCCGTGGGGAGGTTTCCCCGCCCACCACAAACAGCCAGGCACACGGGACTTCTGACTCCAGACTGTGGAAAATGCTCCCCGAGTTAGCTGGGGTAGACGCCTCCAACGGTGGAAAGGGATGGGATGTTTTGCCTATTTTAAGCCCAAGCACTGCCCCCTAATGGGCTCACTGGGGACCCACAGTGGACACGTCTTTCTAGAAGGGCTATTCTCAATACTGGCCGAGGAGCTGTCCAGAGCTTTCGCCTGAGAGGTTTGGCACCAGCCCAGCCGGCTGAGGCTCCATGGGCCAAATGTGTCTGTGCACGTGCGTGTGCACACACGTGCGCCGTGTGAGAGCATGTGGGTGTGCGAGCGTGCACGTGGGTACACGTGTGTTGAGAGTGTGCAGACATGTGAGTATGTGAATATGTGAGTGTGTGCACATACAGGTACTGAGTGTGCTGAATGCATGTGGGAGTGTGGGAGTGTGTCGAGTGGGTGAGAATATGCACACGAGGTGTGTGACTATGCACTGAGGTGTATGAGTGTGTATGAGTGAATGTGTTAGGATGGTGCAAACGTGTAGGTGCAAGAGTAGGTTCATGTATGTGCTAGCGTTGTCACATGTGAGAGTGTGTGAGTGCACGTGTGCACCTACCGCGCATGAGAACTGGGTACACAGGCACACGTGTTGTAAGTTCGAGAGCACATGAGTGTACGCGGATGAGCGTGTGGAGAACATGTGGGAGTGTGTGAGTGTGAGTGTACATGTGTGTGGTCACCCTCCCTGAAGGTGCCGTGGCTGAAGCATTCCGGGTTTCGTGAGTCTGGCCACGGCTCGGGCTGGCTTCTCTGCAGGGCCCGCTCCAGCCCGCGTCCTTCCCCGCGTGTGTTTCCTGGCAGGGACCGGCAGGAAGATGGGCTCCTGGGGACTGAGACTCGTGCTGGCGTGCTGCCTGCTGCTGGCCTTCGCCTGTGGCCCGGCGCTGGGCCGTGTGCCACAGGGTCCACAGGAGGTGCAGGAGCAGGAGGGGACCAAGGAGCCGCCGCTGGACCACGCTGAGAGGTGAGAGATGGGGAGGTGTGGATGCAGGAGCTTGGGTTTGGTGGGTTGAGCCTGGGGTCCAGGGCACCCCAGGGGGGGCTTGTTTGGGGCTGGATGTGAATAGCCAAAGCTGAAGGAAGTGTCCTTGCCGACACTGGTGCTGGAGGACAGCCCAGCCATTTCTCCTTTGAGTGACCCCAGGGCCTTATCTGAAAGGGAGGACAATGACCCACCTTGCTCTAACCCCAAAGGGATTGGGTTTCTGTAAGGTTTTGCAGACACATCCTTAGGTGAAGACTTCCCCCAAACCCCAACCCCAGCCCTCCGTTTGTCCTTCTATTCTAGCTTCGAGAATATCTTCCAGGGCTCTGAGTGCTACTTGCAAGTAGGAGGCAGGGATGCTGCCGTGAGCTGGTCCGGGGACCCTAACCATCTGATCAGGCCGCCAGTGGGAGAGGATTGCTCAGGGCCGGCAGAGAAGTTGTGCTTTTCTCGGAAAGTCATGAATTTCTCCTGAATGTCATCCTCTTCATGGATGTGACCTTCGATAATATAGAGACTTTGGGCTATTTGGAATATTTAGTAGGGATGCACAAAATGCTTAGGATTGCTCATGAAACTGTCATTCATCAAATGTGAGGTCCTAGACACCTGGGAGACAGGCTGATGCTTTGGATTTCTTCGTTATTCTGAGTTTTGGGTTGACTCGATACCCACGGCTTCAGGCTGTCTTCAGAGGATGGTGTGGGACACGCCGACATCCATCATCTCCTCCCCCTCAGCCCCTCCCCCACTTCTCCCCCTCCTCACTTTTCGTTCAGTGAACGCTGAGTGCCTACTATTGATCTGGCCATCTGCCAGGCACTGGGGGACATGCACAAATGGCAGTTCTGGCCTCCAGGAGCTCTGAGGCCATGGGGAAGCAGACACACATGACCCAGAGCAGTGAGGTAGGCTCTGTAGTACAGGTGTGCCCACAATGCTGGGGGTGGGGGTGGGGGTGGGGGGAGACTGAGCAAAGGAGTGACCGCATCTTGAAGGATACCTGTGCCTGGGGAGCATCCCAAGTGCAGGAGGAGCGTGTGGCCGTGCTAGGTGGGTTTGGGGTAGTGGGGTTGATGTTGGAGGGTGGGAAGGGGAGGGGAGGTAGCCTGGTGGGGAGGGGTCTCTCCTGAACTTAATCCTACAGGGAGTCATGAGGGATCATCATGAAGCGGGTGGGGACATCACGGAGAGGTTTCCATGTCATGACATTCCAGAAAGAATGCTGGAGAAGGCAGGGTGACTGGGAGGTGTGGAGAGAGGCAGATTCCAGGAGAGCAGTCAGAATGGTAACGGTCCCCCAGAGCTGGGGAGGCCCGAAGGCCCGGCTTCTGCAGGTACCTTGGTGCTGGGGGTGGGGTGACTGCTCAGGACCTCATGATCCTCAGAACTGGGTGGCGAGGCTGGAGAAGCCTCTTGAATGAGCCTCAGATTCCATTCTGGGTGACCGGTGATGGTGTCGTGAAGAGGGTTCGGAAAGAGAAGTTTCCAGGGGCAGAGCGATGGGCCGACACTTTTGGACACATCACCTTTGTGGGGCTTGCTGACCGTAGATGGGGACTTCTGGCGAGAGGTGGGGGTCCACCTGGGAGTCCAGTGCTTGTGCGGCGTGAATTTAGGGGGTACAGACCCATTTCCCGGATTGTCTGGGGTTTAAAAGCAGGAGCAGAGGTAGAGAAGGAAGCAGCCATTGAGATGGAGGGACCGTCTCAGAGATGTCACAGCTCCAGAGCCTGGAGCAAAGAGCGGAGGCCAGAACGAGCAGTGGGTGCCGCAAGGTGGCAGCGTGGAGCCCTCAGCGGCCACCTGCCCAGTGTCCCTAGTAAACAGTAGAGTGGCTCTCCAGGGGCTGCAGCTCAAACGAATCCCAAGATCATTTACAAATGAGTCAGCTTAATGTCGCATCTTCTGGAATCACAGTGGCATGAAGGGGACCCACGGCTTGGTCACACATCATCTGAAACCCCTCCCAGAGGGGCAGATCTCTCCGAGCAGCCTCTGTCTTGCGGGGCCCTCAAATTAGCACTGTTTTTGTAGTCACTGTTTCCATCACGAGTATTGCCATGACCAGAAGACAGAGGAGCTCTTCCAGAAACTTCATGTAGGGTCCCAGAGTTCGCCCAGAGCCACTGCTGTCTGTGTCAGGGAAAGAGCACACAGTCTGGCACATCCAGGCCAGAGGGAAGGCATGCAGGTAGACCAGACCCTCCGGCAGCAGAAGAGAGAGGGGGGTCCCAGCTCCCAGAGCTCGTGGCCTTCCCTGTAATGCCTTTATTCCCTTAGGGATGAAGAAAACCATGAAAAGTACAGCCCCAGGCAGGGTGAGGAGGCCCCTGCTTCCCGGTGCTTTCGCTGCTGTGACCCTGGCAGCCCCGTGTACCAGGCCATCCCCATGCCGCAGATCAACATCACCATCTTGAAAGGTCAGAGGGCTGCAAAGCCGCCAAGGGGAGCTACCCCTGGGCGGGAGGGGGGGGGTGCTCTGTGCTGAGCAGGGAGAAGATGCAGTGGTTAGGGTGGATGAGGCAGGTGCAGAATGGCTCCCGCAGGGCCCGGCGCAGGGGCAGGCTATCCTCTAGGGGTGAAGGAGGGGAAACTCCCATCTGAGGCTCTGCCCCCTCGCCAGGAGGAGAGATTGGAAAGAGGCCTGCAGAACCAGGACAGGGGGAGGGTCTCCCCCCAGGCTGCACCCGAGCCTCTGTAACCGCTGTTTAGAGGCTCGGTGGGCCCCGCCCCCTCCGCCCCCAGCCCACTTTCTGAAATGCCCCGGGCCGCCGCGGTCCAGATAACCTAGCACAGCCCTGCGAGGTCTGACTGAGGAGCTCTGGGGCGAGCCTGACATCTGCAGTTCATTTGCTCTGAGTCTGCCATGGGCCTGGCCGCAGCGCCTGTTGCATTTGGACAAACCCCCACGTTCCCTTTTCTTTGCCAGGACTTTCCAGAGGGGGGGGAAATGATTGTTTCTGGATGAAAATAGAACACTCCTTATAGTTGGGTCAGCTTGCCTGACACTGCGTGTTTTCCTGTCCTTTTAGGTGAGAAGGGTGACCGGGGAGACCGCGGCTTGCAAGGGAAATACGGCAAGACGGGCTCCGTGGGCGCCAGGGGCCACATGGGCCCCAAAGGGCAGAAGGGGTCCATGGGGGCCCCCGGGGACCGCTGCAAGAACCACTACGCCGCCTTCTCGGTGGGCCGCAAGAAGCCTCTGCACAGCAACGACTACTACCAGACCGTGATCTTTGACACGGAGTTCGTGAATCTCTACGGCCACTTCAACATGTTCACGGGCAAGTTCTACTGCTACGTGCCAGGCATCTACTTCTTCAGCCTCAACGTGCACACCTGGAACCAGAAGGAGACGTACCTGCACATCATGAAGAACGGGGAGGAGGTGGTGATCCTGTACGCCCAGGTGAGCGACCGCAGCATCATGCAGAGCCAGAGTCTGATGCTCGAGCTGCGGGACCAGGACGAGGTCTGGGTGCGCCTCTTCAAGGGCGAGCGGGAGAACGCCATCTTCAGTGACGAGTTTGACACCTACATCACCTTCAGCGGCTACCTGGTCAAGCACGCCTTGGAGCCCTAGCCCGGAGGCCCTTCAGCCCTGCACTGTGCTCGCTGCAGCCCCTCCCCAGGCCTGGCTTCCCTGCCCCAGCACCCCAGCTTCGCGGCCTTCTACATGACGCCCCTCAAGGAAGGGGAAGCAAGAGCAGCTGTGCTTGCCGGCCACGCGGGCTCCTGGGTGGGCTTAGCAGGCAGGCACCTGCGAGGAGTTGGGGGGGGGCTCCCAGGTCCCCTCCGTGCGCATATCCATACGCGACCCCGCGGGCAGGCCGCCACATGGCAGGGTGTCCCAGAGTCCTCCTTGCTCCCGGGGCTGGAAATAATGAGGGAAATTCTAAAGTTTGTGAAAGGAGCAAAGGTAAGCCATGTGGGAAAAGGGAGGTATAATTTTGCCTCTGCTCCAGCTGCACTGACTCCCCGGGGAGGCTGCTCTCCCCTGAGCTTGCATGTTCCAGAGGACCGGAAGTAGACGCGGTGGGCCACGGGGGAAGGGGTGGAGGGTGTGGGGACCCTCTTAGGCCATGTATGAGCCTTCTTGGGCAACAGCTGGACTGACATCCACGTCTGGGGGACATCCTGGCCTTGCCCGCGGGTTCAGCTGGTATTTCTGAGCCACAATAGTGAGGGGGTTCAGGTTCGGGTAGTGAATGTTAGCTTTCAGCCCTTGGCCCTGGTCTCTGGGCTGAGAGAAGCAGCCTGCTTGCCAGAAGCCACAGACTCCTGAGTGCAGCTGGGGACCTCAGGAGCCCCTGGGTCTGCAGATGTTTCCATGAGGAGCAAAGCTCAATACATCCACGGCACAGCCATCCTTCCCGGCACGGCTCTGCTCCACGCCCCCCTACGGCCCAGGAGCCCTGCGCAGGGCCTTCACTCCTGTCACCCCGGCATTCCTCCTTCTAGACGGGTCAGCCACGGAAGGCACTGGGGCCTTCGTTTTGTAGCAGGATCATGCTTAGATAATATTTTCTACAAAACCTCCTTGCACACCATCTCTGAGTCCTATTGCCCAGAGGGTTCAACACTCGGCAGCCCCGGGGCTCTCCCCCAGGCCTCTTTGGTCAGCAGCCCGAGACAACATGGGAGGAACTTCCTCTGGGCCCCAGAGCAGGGAAGAGCTGGAAGGGGCTGGAAGGCTCCCCCTCTACCTGTCTCGGAGCCCCCATGGGGTACCATCCCTCTGCCCAGGAGAGAAGGCATGTCTCAACCACTGGAGTCAGAACCCTCTCTCTGAGGTGGGGTGTAGATGTGCCCAAAGGGGCTGCTGCCTGGAATTGGTGCTCTGGCCTGTGGGTGGCTTTGGCCGGGTGGCCCTTCCCTGCCTCTCTCCATTAATGCCCAGGGCCAGAGTCCTGCCTCTACCTGCTCGGGCCCCTGAGTCCCTCCAGGAACCTTCCTTCCCACCGCCTGGTGACCCTTGGTCTTGACCCATCCCTCTGCTCTCCCTGGGCCTTGCCACCGGGTCGGGGGTCTGCACATCCTTCCCTCTGAAGGACTTCTGCTGGTCAGACTTGAAAAATGGAGTTTCTCCGGGCGTGCTGGTGAGCAGAGTGCCCGCCTCCTGCTTTGTGCTGTCCCAATGCTCTTTCAGAAAACATTAAACTTGGACCATGTGTCTCAGCATCATGGCCTCCTCAGTTTGCTCCTTGAACCAAACCCTCCTCCTTCCTCTCCCCACCCCTGCACCCCACCTACTGCCTGTTGGAGGCCTGGGGGTCCCCAGCTTGGCACCCGGGAACATAGGTAGCCAGCGGGCACAGCCTGGGCCCTGAAGGGCCTTGTTCCTCAGGGGAACACACTGTATAGGCTCAGCCGGACATGGTCGCATTGGGCACCCTGTGCTTAGCGGAGCCTGCGAGCGGCGGGCAGGAGGCAGGGCTTAGGCAAGGGTGGTCTGGGTCCCGGGGCTGCCGTAACAAACTGCCACAAGCCCGATGGCTTGAAACAATACACATTTATTCTCTCGCAGGCTTAGAGTCCAGGACTCCTACACTGAGGTGTGGACAGGGCCATGTTTCCTCCCAGGTCTGTAGGGAAGGGTTCTTCCTTGCTTCTTTTAGCTTCCGGTGGCCCCGGTATTCCGTGGCTGGTGGCCGAGTCACTCCGGTCTCTGCCTATCTCCATCTGCACGTGGCCTTCTTTCTTGTGCCTGTTAGACCTTTCCTTTAGACACCTGACATTGGACTTAGGGCCCATCCTGAATCCAGGATGATCTCCTCTCAAGATCCTTAACTTAATGACATCGGCAAAGACCTTATTTCCAAGTAAGGTCACGGTCATGGGTCTCAGGGGTGAGGAGGACTCGGATGTACTTTTTGGGGGAATACAATTCAACCCACTACAGTGACCTGCGGGCTTGAATACCCCCACCAACAGCTTCCTTCGTGCTCGAGCCGTGAAGAGATGTTCCTTTCTCTTCTCTCTACAGCTTGTCAACTCGGTTAGCGGCCAGGGCCCTTGCCTGATGGCCAGCAGGGAGTGCAGTGTCCTTCTTTTGCCTGGTTCTAGGATCAGCCTGTGCTCAGCCCTGGGCTGGGGCCAGGTGGGAACCAGCAGATCCTGAAATTCTGCTCCCTGTAAGACAAAGAGCAGACACCGCCTCCACAGAGCCGAGGCCATCCATAGAAGGAAGTGCCTTCTATGCAGCTGGGAGGAGGGGCTGAGGGTATTCCCCAAAGATGTATGGGAGGAATGGGTCAGCCTCACCCAGGTGCCTACTGCCTTGGGGTACAGTCACACGGACATTGTTAACACCTGTTCTGTCACCCGCCAAGCCAACGTGGGAGACGAGGAGGCACCTGCTCCCAAGCCCACACAATGCCCTCTCTCGCGCTTTGAGCTCCCCCACACCCAGCCCTTCCTGCCGCTGTCTTTCCACTCCCTTTCTGATTGCATTTCTCGCTCTCCAAATATTTACCCTGCATCTGCTTTGTGGTGCTAGGTGCTGGGGGCATCATGACACATAAGATGGGGTACTTGCCTTCCGGAGGACTTTTCGGGGATGTTAACTACAGTCCGACATGGATGTAGCCTTCTCAGAAGAATTGCATACGTGGCACTTAGTTATCGGCTCCTTCTGACTCCCCCCTACAAAACTGTTTACTTTGCATAGGCCCCTTCCCCTGTGCCCTGACCTTGGCTAGTAAGGCATTGTCTAGCCATTCCTGGAAAAGACCTGATGATAAACTCAGTTGCAAAACAAATACTAGTGTTTTAGCAAAAGGGGGTAGAGACAGCTGATGACTCAGCCAAAGGAGAGAACTGTTTACGCTACAACTTTTAGAAGGCTCTGTAATCAGGGGTGGGAGCGGTGAGGCGTGCACTCCCCATCCTATGGGGTTATCGTGTGTGTGCGCACATGTGCGAGAATGCAATGGCATGATGGCAAACTGGGTTTTTGAGGCCATAGTAATGGGAATAAAATGAGACCTTCTCCCAGATCATGAAAACAACAACAACAACAACAACAACAAAAAGGTAACAGAAAATAATAAATAAAACAAGATGCCTTCGGATGCAAAAGAGTGGAGCTGGATCCCTACCTTACACCATATACAAAAATTATCTCAAAGCGGATCAAAGTTCTCAATATAAGGGCTAACAGTACAAAATTCTTAGCAAAAAGTATGGCTGTAAATCATCATGACCTTGTATCAGGCGGCTGTTTCCTAGGTGTGACACCAAACCCCAAGTACCACAAGGGAAAATAGATAAATCAGACACTGCCAAAATTTAAAATTCTGGACTTCAAAGGACATGACTGAGAAAGTGAAGGGACAGCACAGAATGGGAGAAAATATTTGTAAATCATAGATCTGATAAGGGACTTATATCCAGAGTACATTAAGAACTCTTGCAACTCAATGATTTAAAAAAAAAAACAAATTAAAAAATAGGCAAAGGGTCTCAATAAACATTTCTCAAAGAAGACTGACAAATGACCCATAAGCCCCTGAAAAGATGCTCAGTATCATTAGCCACCAGGGAAATGCAAGTCAAAACCGCAGTGAGATACAACTTCACAACCAACAGGACGGCTGTCATCAAAACGACAAATGTTGGCAAGGATGGAGAGAGGCTGTCACCCTCAGACACGGCTGGCAGGAATGTAAAATGGTGCAGCCACTTTGGAAAACAGTCTTGTGCTTCTGCAGAATATTAAGCATAGAGCTACAGGTGACCCAGCGATTCCAATTCTAGGTGTATCCCCAAAAGAAAAGAAAACATTGTGGATGAATGTCCTTGGCAGCATTATTCATAATAAAAAAAGCGGAAACAATCCAAATGTCCATCAGGTGATGAATAAATGAATAAAATGTGGTCTGTCTGTACGATAGAACAGTACTCAGCTCTAAAGAAAGTAGCGACACCTGCTATAGCCCGGATGAACCTCAAACACATGAAGCCAAATGAAAGCAGTCAGTCACAAAAGACCACTTATTATATGGTTCCACTTATGTGAAATGTTCTGACCAGCAAATCCATAAAGACAGAAAGTAGATTAAAGGTTTCCAGGGGCTGAGGTTTGGGGGAAGGGAGTGAGTGCTAACAGGGACAAGGTTTCCTTTTTGGAGTGATGAAAATGTTCTAAAATTGATGGTAGGGGTGGTCATGTGACTGGGTGAATATACTAAAACCATGGACTGCACACACGAAATGGGCAAATTGTATGTTTTGTAAATTATATCTCAGTAGTTACAAACACACACGTGCACACACACACACACACACACACACACACACACACAGACTAGAACGCCTTGCCCTTCTCTGTTGAGGCCTGGGGAGTCCTGGAGCTCCAGACAGGCGACCTTCAGAGCCAGGCTCATTATTCTGGGCATGGATCAGGAGGGGGTCAGGGTCCAGGGTTCATTGAGGTGGGATGGGATTGTCAGGCTTAGTTCTTCCAAGAGCATTACTTAACAAGCATTTTGGAACCAACTGTTGGATGAGATCACACAAACGCAGGAGGCTGACTCAGGTGCCAAGGGAAGCAGTCCACAAGGAACAGCTAATTGAGGACCA